CAAATTTTTGGGGGTTACGTTGATACCAATCCAATGAAGGAACAATTTCGAAGGGTGGAACCTACTGATGGCCAGATGCAAGTGTGCCTGCAACGATTTCCAAACTCACTTCTAGTTGTTCCCAACATTTTCCCAAAATAATTCCGACAAATGTTGGATGCTGAACTGCCTTGAGACCCATTTGCAGGCAAAATGTCCTGACAGTATGGTTAGAAGCCCAATCAAGCCTCCTGCTGTTTGTGGATTGCTTTCTTTGGCCTACCAGGAGGTGTGATGTCGGTTTGATGCATCACAGACCTGATAGTTCTGTGATTGAAAAACACTTTGGAGACCTGATCTGACCTTCCGATGTTTGTTCGGATGTTTGTGGATACCTTTCTTTGGCCTACCAGAAGGTGTGATGTCGTTTTGATGCATCACAGACCTGATAGTTCTGTGATTGAAAAACACTTTGGAGACCTGATCTGACCTTCTGATGTTTGTTCGGATGTTTGTGGATAGCTTTCTTTGGCCTACAAGAAGGTGTGATGTCGTTTTGATGCATCACAGACCTGATAGTTCTGTGATTGAAAAACACTTTGGAGACCTGATCTGACCTTCCGATGTTTGTTCGGATGTTTCGGTGGATGGAGCTTTCTTTGGCCTACAAGAAGGTGTGATGTCGTTTTGATGCATCACAGACCTGATAGTTCTGTGATTGAAAAACACTTTGGAGACCTGATCTGACCTTCCGATGTTTGTTCGGATGTTTGTGGATAGCTGTCTTTGGCCTACAGGAAGGTGTGATGTCGTTTTGATGCATCACAGACCTGATAGTTCTGTGATTGAAAAACACTTTGGAGACCTGATCTGACCTTCCGATGTTTGTTCGGATGTTTGTGGATAGCTTTCTTATGGCCTACAAGAAGGTGTGATGTCGTTTTGATGCATCACAGACCTGATAGTTCTGTGATTGAAAAACACTTTGGAGACCTGATCTGACCTTCCGATGTTTGTTCGGATGTTTGTGGATAGCTTTCTTTGGCCTACAGGAAGGTGTGATGTCGTTTTGATGCATCACAGACCTGATAGTTCTGTGATTGAAAAACACTTTGGAGACCTGATCTGACCTTCCGATGTTTGTTCGGATGTTTGTGGGTTGCTTTCTTATGGCCTACAAGAAGGTGTGATGTCGTTTTGACGCATCACAGACCTGATAGTTCTGTGATTGAAAAGCACTTTGGAGACCTGATCTGACCTTCCGATGTTTGTTCGGATGTTTTTGGATAGCTTTCTTTGGCCTACAAGAAGGTGTGATGTCGTTTTGATGCATCACAGACCTGATAGTTCTGTGATTGAAAAACACTTTGGAGACCTGATCTGACCTTCCGATGTTTCTTCGGATGTTTGTGGATAGCTTTCTTTGGCCTACAAGAAGGTGTGATGTCGTTTTGATGCATCACAGACCTGATAGTTCTGTGATTGAAAAACACTTTGGAGACCTCATCTGACCTTCCGATGTTTGTTCGGATGTTTGTGGATACCTTTCTTTGGCCTACCAGAAGGTGTGATGTCGTTTTGATGCATCACAGACCTGATAGTTCTGTGATTGAAAAACACTTTGGAGACCTGATCTGACCTTCTGATGTTTGTTCGGATGTTTGTGGATAGCTTTCTTTGGCCTACAAGAAGGTGTGATGTCGTTTTGATGCATCACAGACCTGATAGTTCTGTGATTGAAAAACACTTTGGAGACCTGATCTGACCTTCCGATGTTTGTTCGGATGTTTGTGGATAGCTTTCTTTGGCCTACAAGAAGGTGTGATGTCGTTTTGATGCATCACAGACCTGATAGTTCTGTGATTGAAAAACACTTTGGAGACCTGATCTGACCTTCCGATGTTTGTTCGGATGTTTGTTCGGATGTTTGTGGGTTGCTTTCTTTGGCCTACCAGGAGGTGTGATGTCGCTTTGATGCATCACAGACCTGATAGAAAAACACTTTGGAGACCTGATCTGACCTTCCGATGTTTGTTCGGATGTTTGTGGGTTGCTTTCTTTGGCCTACCAGGAGGTGTGATGTCGTTTTGATGCATCACAGACCTGATAGTTCTGTGATTGAAAAACACTTTGGAGACCTGATCTGACCTTCCGATGTTTGTTCGGATGTTTGTGGATTCCTTCCTTGGGCTTTCAACAAGGTGTGATGTCGTTTTGATGTACTTTTGTTTCTTTCTAGCCAAGGTCTCGTGTCATGTGGTTGGTGATTTTGTGTCATGCGGTTGGTGATTTCCCCAAGTTGGCCCGAAACTGTCCATGCAACCTCCTGGTATAAACAGAAATGATACCATAGATAGCTCCTGATAGCTCTAATATAGCTAAAACGGCACCCCAGTTTCAAGCAGTGTAACCATGTTTATCTCCTGAGTGGCAAAAACATTAAGAGCCCCACATTTTGGCTTCTACGTGGGTTTGAACCAGTTTTTATCCCCACATTATTCATCCATAATTATAGTAACCCCCAAAAGAGGTAGAACAGTCATTTATCACTTACATTTTAATTTGGATGATGAAAAAACATCCATACTTTTTGGATCTTTTTGGGGAGTGCATTCCCACGTTCTTGCTTTCACCTCCAAGTTCATAGGTGGCCATTTACTGCTGGCAGGGAAACATGTCCAGCGACTCCAGCGTTTGGCGCGCGCAGACAAATCTACGAGGTGCGAAGTTTGGAAAACGATCCACAAATATATTGGGTGGGTTACCATGATTCAGATATATTAATAATGCAGCATTGTACTAAAAATTATGCTAGATTCTAGGTTGCAATTACATACACACACACACAGGTGTATATGTATATATATATATATAGACATGCTTACCCATATAAATGGGTATGATACAGTTTATTTTAATTTGGCATGTTTTACTGAATGGTATTGGAACTTTAGCCATATGTATAGCATGACAAAAATAGAACATATCCGCACTCCTACCATACATACACAGCACACATGGACATGGGTTGATATAAGTTCTGATGCCATGAATGATGTTATATCGTATTGTGAAACTTATCATCTAGTTACTCTCCGGTAAGCTAACATCGATAGAAATCCATGAGTTTCCCAGGCTCTAGGAAAATCGACGAATGGTGGGTTTTCCATGTCGTTTTTTGATGTTTTTTTTGCTCATTTAGCGGAGGTAACCTGTGTGACAAGTTAGGATTTGATACATACAAATTGAGGGTAAAAGCAGCACATTCTTCGGGTTTTCACCCGTTTTTGCTTACTGAAGAAACGGGGATTGAAGCGACAGAACCGATAAGGACAGCAGTGCAGTTTCCAGGGCCTCTTCCAACTAGGTCAGGGACATAACTTACCAAAGGATAGAGCCAACAAGACTGGAATGTAAGATGACAATGTATAAATGCGCAAGGTCAATGGTCAATGTTTAAGGCACTAGGAAGCCAGATGAGCTGGTCATTCTTGGTATGCAACTTGACCCGTGCTGGCATTCCTTTCGTCAGAATACACCCAATGCACGCGCACACAGGTATAAACAAATTAATGATTAGCCAGCTAAGTTGTGATTAGTGCGAATCAACACATTGATAAACTGCACAACAAGCTGATGAATAGATAGTCAGACAGTCGCAAATGACACTGCTTGTAAATGTCCTTGTTCAGAAGCAAACCGACCCAAACTGTGGATTCTCCAGAGACTTTTTTTTTGGGGGTTGTCTACCCTAGCCCATTCCGTGAGGTTTTCCCAGATTCTTCCCAGGCCCTCAGAGGAAGCCTTCTTGGTGGCCCAGAAGCTGCCTCTTCAGAAGCTGGGCAGCCAGGAGTGAACTCATGGCTCCAAAGCATAGCTAAGTTGGTGCAAATGGCCTTGTCAACGTTTGGGTGTATATAGAACTCTAGATGACTATATAATTGCTACATAGTTGGAGCACGGCCTTTATCTGGCCGTGCGTTTTCGTGCACATTGGGGGGGTGGGGTGGGGTGGGGCATGTGTTAACGTTCATGTGAACTTGCTAGGTAAGTGGACTCGTCTCTGTGTGTGCCGTTATGTGCGTGTAGACATGGGTGGGGTGGGGCATGTGTTAACGTTCATGTGAACTTGCTAGGTAAGTGGACTCGTCTCTGTGTGTGCCGTTATGTGCGTGTAGACATGGGTGGGGTGGGGTGGGGTGGGGTTGGGCATGTGGTAACGTTCATGTGAACTTGCTAGGTAAGTTTTCGGTTGCTTTTAACTGATACGTCATGCTACGCTCGCGTAAGTGCGATCAGTTTCTTTGGTTTCAACATCATTTACTTGTATGAATGCCTGTCTTTGGTTATAGTTAGCTGTTCGATGCAAGTGAAGGTCCGTTGCAAGGTCGTCTGGCAGGTTGTGCCAAATTCATCAATACATAACATGTTGAAATCCAGGTCGGTTGCAAGGTCGTCTGGCAGGCTGTGCCAACTTCATCAATACATAACATGTGGAATGACAAAAAAATGCGTTTTCGCCTAGGCGAAATACTTGTTTTTCCATTTCATGCACCAGAATAAGGGGGTTTCTTGTCTTTGAACTCACATCAAAACAATACAGGTCGAATTAGTTGGGGAGTTCTGAGAAACATCAAAAATGATAGTTTCGCCTAGGCGAAACGCTCGATTGTGATTTTATGCACCAGAATCAGGGGTTTTTCGCCTTTGAAATCACATCAACCAAAATCCTATTGGCACGACCACATCAAACATCATCCATGACACCCCGTTGATCACAAAAACACCACGGCCAGATAAAGGCCGTGTTCCTAGTTAGTGGGGTTTGTAAGTCAACTTCAAACTGCGGCGGGCCACCTTGCATGGGCTGTCCGAATACTTTCGTGGCACCCCTCAATAGGCAGAATGCTAACGGATTGGCAGATAGCATGGAGGTATGGAAAAGAGCGGGTGACACAAACCAAGGCAAAGGCCGCGGCAAGATATGGGGCCTTCCTAAACTAAAAGGGCCATCCGAAACCATGGGTTTCCCCATTAAGAACCAGCGGACCAGCATCAAAGCCGGCACCAGCGCCCCACAGGAGCTGGCCATAGCCGCCTGGTCCGCGGCGCGCTTGCGGCTGCAGCTGGGAGGACTGAAAGATGCCATGCAGGAAGCAGGTGCCTCGGCGGCTCTGTGATGAGGCTGTCTCTTTTTGTCTCTTTGTTTTGTCTATGGATAAAATATGAAACAGCACACATATATCTATAGGATTCTATAGGTATATCCTGTATATCTATAATTATCTATATGTCCATACCAGTAGTACCGCACAAGGCGGAGGCGGAAGTTTCAAAAATAGGAAACCTATAGGAAAGGTTGGTTGTTGTGAATCAGGGATGGCAGAGCGAAGCCACTGATGGATCGAAAGGTGATTGATCTCTCTCACTCTTTCTCTCTCTTTCTCTGACTATCTACCTACCTACCTACCTATCTATCTATGTATCTATCTATCTATCGATCTATCTATTATTCTCTCTCTCTCTCTTTCATCTAATTACCTACCTACCTACCTATCTATCTATCTATCGATCTATCTATCTATTTGTCTATCTGTCTATTTGTCTATCTGTCTACCTGTCTATCTGTCTATCTGTCTATCTATCTATCTATCGATCTGTCTATCTGTCTACCTGTCTATCTGTGGTGCAGTGTCATTCAGTGTAGTGTAGTGCAGTGGAGCCTAGTGTAGTGTAGTGTAATTAGTGTAGTGTAGTGTAGTGTAAAAGTAGTATGGTTGTTGTAGTTGTAGTTGTAGTTGCAGTTGTAGTTGTAGTTGTAGTTGTAGTTAGTGTAGTGTAGTGTAGTGGAATGTAGTGCAGTGAAGTGGAGTGTAGTGGAATGTAGTGTAGTGTAATGTAGTGTAGTGTAGTGGAGTGTAGTGGAATGTAGTGTAGTGTAGTGTAGTGGAGTGTAGTGGAATGTAGTGTAGCGTAGTGTAATGTAGTGTAGTGTAATTTAGTGTAGCGTAGTGGAAGGTAGTGTAGTGTAGTGTAATGTAGTGTAGTGGAATGTAGTGGAGTGTAGTGTAGTGTAGCGTAGTGTAGTGTAGTGTAGCGTAGTGTAGTGTAATTGAGTGTGTAGTGTAGTGTAGTGGAGAGTAGTGTAGTGGAATGTGGTGAAGGTGTAGCTGTAGTTGTAGTGTAGTATATTGGAGTGTAGTGTGGTGTAATGGTGGTTGTAGTTGAAAATGCGACAAAACCCTCACGTTTTGCGCACTTTTGAGAAGGTGCACAATCCTTTTGCGCCTGCCACGCGAAACGAGCTCTGAGCGTCCAAAAGTGGTCCGTACGTGGTGTGTTTTGTACATTTTGACTTCGAAATGTGCTTCGCGCCACAACGGCGTGCACTTTTTCGACATCTCAACTTCCAAAAGTGGTCCGAACCTGGTGTGTTTTGTACATTTTGACTTCGAAATGTGCTTCGCGCCACAACGTCGTGCACTTTTTCGACATCTCAACTTCCAAAAGTGGTCCGGAGCTGGTGTGTTTTGTGCATTTTTACTTCGAAATGTGCTTCGCGCCACAACGGCGTGCACTTTTTCATTGCTCATCTGGCCAGATGGCTCTGCACCCGCCGCTTTAGCGAGCCTACTTTTCGACCCCCCGGAGCTTCAAATCATTGGAAAAACACAGTGTTGCGCGACTTTTCCTACCTTTTCGCGCATCTGCATCTTCTTTCTTCTGGTTCTTTATCTTCTGTCATCTTCTCTCTTCTATTCTCCTCTTCTCTCTGACTCTTCCCATCTCTGCTTTTCATCTGTCCATATTGTCGGAAGTTTGACTTCTCAACTTCCTTCGATCATTCTATATCTATCCCTATTTCTATCTCCGTCTCCACCATCATGGAGGGGCTTATCCCAAAACATTGCGGCTCCTTGGGGTTCCACCGAGGTGTTGCCGAGTTGGACGCGCGGGACATCGCCAAAGCAGCCTGGACGCTGGCGCGGCTGCGCTGGGACGAGGAGCCGCTGCTGACGCGGCTGGTGTCAACGGCGGCGCGAGTCAGGGAGGAATTGGAGCCGCAGGCGCGGCAAGGCCGAAGAAACACGGCTGTTTTTTGGTGCTAAGATGGGTACATCATGGGATATTCGGATCTTATGGCGCGGTTGAGACTGCCACGATGAGTGTGAGATTTCACAAAGACCTCACTGCAATCCATAGTCAGGGCGGTGATCCCGTTTTTTTCGACCCGGTTTGTGAGTTATCATTGCCCAACACTCTTTGATGGAGGAGTTAGCCGTAGCAATCTGAGATGAGCTTTCGGTTGTTCGGGTTGCTGGCAGCGGCGCCAGGGGCTTGCCAACACGTTGTGAGCCTTTGCAACACTCAAAGTGGCGAAGCGCCAAGCGATGCACCTGGTGCCAGGCATTGTGCGATGTCAGGACAGGCATTGAAGTCATCCGCATGATTCGCATAGGGGTACCCTCAGATCATCCAAAATTAGACCATTTTAGTATTGAAACCTATGGTTTTGGCGATCCCCCATTTTAAGAAACCACCATTTGAAAAGTCATCGCAACCATTCCATGGCGCAACTCCCTCCGAACTTTCGGCCCAGCCATGCTCGACCCTTTGGCAGGAGCAATTCTGTCCCTAGGAGCTGGCGAACATTGCATGGAATTTGGTGGGGGTCCGTTGGGGGTGGTGTTATGATATGAAGGGGGAACCGAGAATTCCTCAGACTTTGGAAGATTTGAATCCCAACATAATGATCAACAAGACCAATGATCAACAAAACTGTTGTTTTCTTGGGCATTGGGCATCATGATTTTCGGTTCAGTACTGAAGCAGTGAAACCGGATGGGCTCAGCGGTGCCCTAGCACTTGACATCCAGATGTGGGGTCCCCAGATTGCTCTGATCCTCGGAATGAATCATGTCATGATTCCACGATTGTATGGGCCCCTGGGATCCCCTGGGGCTATGATAGGATACCTGGATACCTCCAAATTCGCTGAATCATTGTCCCTATTGAAGCGACGATCGTGTCCCCTGGAGGCCACCCTGCGTATCGCGGCACCAGATGTCTTAGGCGAACACGTGGCAGTATTCGTACATACTTATACATACTGGCCATACTGTATATATATATATAAATACACTATATAACAACAATCTTATCTATATCTATATGTGTATATATATATAAAATGCGCGTATTTTATTCTTTATTCATTTGTTACTGTATCATTTCCTTGCACGGCTACATATGAACAGATATTGATATAAGTGCATGTATATAAGTATGCAGTATGCAGTATGCAGATAGACGTTGTATTTCTGTTTGAGCCTCTGCACACAAGCATACACACACACATGTATATGTATATAGTGCCATGTTTGACACGTAGTGTGATTTCTTTTGTTATTTCCAGCGCCATTTCTACTCCTACATGTGTCATATCGTTGGTCTTTTACAGGTCTGGCTTGATGATATTCCTTTTCATGACTTATATTGCTGTTCGTGTTGGTGACATTTTTCGGCTCGTTGCAATTTCCTTTGGATTTTGTGCATCCCTAGCTGTCATATTCCGAATCCCTATGTTTCCTGGCAAAATCTCATGAAATATCCTTATGTTACACATCCCACTTTCAGTGGGTGACATCCCACTTCTTTGTTGGTTCAATCCCTACCATCTGAATTACAGCTGGCCTTTTCGGAAGGTGCGCTGTGCACACAGACCCTGGTGACCTTGCAGAACTTTGGGCCGCCACTTGGAACTAGTCATCACTGGGGGACCTGGGGTTCACTCAATAAACTAAACGAGATTACTATGCACACGCACGCACGCGCGCGCACACGCACACGCATATATATATATATACATACATACACATTGTACACACACACATATATATATATATATGCGTGTGCGTGTGCATGTGCGTGTGTGTATCAGTGTGTGTGTGTGTAATGTATACTAAAACTATTTAGAATATCACCAAGGAGGCTGAACATGTCCAAAAAACAATTAGTCATGTATTTTTATTAGCTTTGTTTAGTAGGAAGATATTTGGCAGGTGACCCTAACGCTGAAGGGGTATTTATAGCATTCTTGCCAAATGGTAAAGGCCAAGTGCTGTACTTGCATTCGTAGATGAATAGGACAGCGACCAGTAAGAATGAGGAAATGACCGGGAATCATGGGGAGAATCAGAAGCGACCGATTTGATGCTTCATTTTTTTTGCAAACTTGGATGCGCACATGCTGCTTGTATTCATGTCTTGTTTCACTTGTTCTTGGTTTCTGATATTCATTCTGTCACATTTGCTTTGGCATTTGCTTTCTGTCCAATTACTAAATTTGAGTGCCATGTTTTTTTTGTTTCACCTTCTTGCCGCCCATAAAACCAGGTCCAACATTTTTTTTGGCAGCTGGATCCCCGAAATCCCTCAAAATCCCCAGGACGGACGTGGCGAACGTCGCATGGGCATTCCAGGCTGGTGCTGTGAAGGGTTTCATGTTGCCAGGGTACGTATGATTTTAATGGGATTTAACTATGAATCAATAGGAGTTGATTGGATTTATATGGAATTTACCCTTCAGTAAACTAACATAGCTATGAACAACGGACAATTTATAGACGAATTACCCATTAAAGCTGATGATCTTCCATAGCTATGTTAGTTATCAGAGGATCGCTGCAGCTTTTCATGATCCATAGAGGTCCATAGAGGTAAACCTATCATGGAACCGCTAGCCATGTCCCTTTCCCATTGGTTGGTTTGTCAATAGAGGGGTTTACCAGTATCCCGTTACCCGAGCCGCTCACAACCAATAGTTGCTGTAAATAATGGTGAACAGTAAAAAAAAACATTTTATGTTAGGAAAGCAATCATCTACCATTCACATGTTGCTTTACAATAGGGGATGGTGGATCCTGTTGCTTAATTATGACATTATTTCATGGAAAATATCGCCAGAAATATGACATTTTAGTGGCATTTCATGGTGATTTCATGGTGATTTCATGGGATTTCATGGGATTTTATTCACATGTCATGGGATTTTCATGCCTTTTCGGACTACCTCCAGGTGTTTTCACTGCCCTCCAGGTCTTGTCCTATCGCGATGAAGACTTCTTCCGCGGCCTCCGCGACCTGGTCGAACTGTTATACTGGAGGGTAAATATATGTCAAAGTGATTATAAATGATGATAAATGATCATAAATGATTATACATGTATATAGAGACGTGATATAATTGATATATATATATACATACTTTGGCATGCGGTGTACATATCAACACATCTTCCACGTTGCCGTTGCGATTCCTTTCGCTTCTCGTTGGCCGACCTCAGGTGAGGCCTCGCTGGCCCAGATCAGGAACTTCAATGCCCAGGAGGGGCCTGGCTGGAGCGGTGTTTTTGGAAAAAGCTGAAGGCTTCAACGACAACAACCAGGATGAGGTAAACCCTGCAGTAAAGCCAATTTCAGAAAAATTAAAGGACCGGATAACCCCACATGTTACCAACTTCTTTAGACTTAGACTGAGCAGAGAAAGCGATAAGGGAAGAGGAAGTATGAGAGTGATGGAGGGACGATGGTGGTATGTATGTAGGTATGTATGTAGGTAGGTAGGTGAGTTTGTGTGTGTATGTATGTTCAAGTACAGTGAGTGAGTGAGTGAGGGAGGGAGGGAGTGAGTGAGGGAGTGAGTAGAGGGATTGAGTAAGTGAGTGAGTGAGTGAGTGAGTGAGTCCGACCCCTTGGCCATGCACATTGTCCCACGCCTGCCACGCAAACGAGGAGACCAAGGGACGCCAGGGCGTACATCCGACCCCTTGGCGGTGCACACTGTCCCACGCCTGCCACGCAAAAGAGGCGGAGACCAAGGGACGCCAGGGCGTACATCCGACCCCTTGGCGGTGCACATTGCCCCACGCCTGCCACGCAAAAGAGGCGGAGACCAAGGGACGCCAGGGCGTACATCCGACCCCTTGGCAGTGCACATTGTCCCACGCCTGCCACGCAAAAGACGCGGAGCCCGAGGGACGCCAGGGCGTACATCCTACCCCTTGGCAGTGCACATTGTCCCACGCCTGCCACGCAAAAGAGGCGGAGCCCGAGGGACGCCAGGGCGTACATCCAACCCCGTGGCAATGCACATTGTCCCACGCCTGCCACGCAAAAGAGGCGGAGCCCGAGGGACGCCAGGGCGTACATCCGACCCCTTGGCAGTGCACATTGTCCCACGCCTGCCACGCAAAAGAGGCGGAGCCCGAGGGACGCCAGGGCGTACATCCGACCCCTTGGCAGTGCACATTGTCCCACGCCTGCCACGCAAAAGAGGCGGCGACCCAAGGGACGCCAGGGCGTACATCCACCCTTGGCGGTGCCACTGTTCCCACGCCGGCACGGAAAGATGGCGGAGACCAAGGAGCCAGGGCGACATCGAGCCCCTTGGCATGCACATTGTTCCCACGCCTGCCAAAAGAGGCGGAGACCAAGGGACGCCAGGGCGTACATCCGACCCCTTGGCGGTGCACACTGTCCCACGCCTGCCACGCAAAAGAGGCGAAGACCAAGGGACGCCAGAGCGTACATCCGACCCCTTCATTGTCCCACGCCTGCCACGCAAACGAGGCGGAGACCAAGGGACGCCAGGGCGTACATCCGACCCCTTGGCGGTGCACATTGTCCCACGCCTGCCACGCAAAAGCGGCGGTGAGTGTGAGTGAGTGAGTGAGTGAGTGTGAGTGTGAGGTGAGTGAGTGTGAGTGTGAGGAGAGTGAGAGTGAGTGAGTGTGAGTGAGTGAGTGTGTGTGAGTGAGTGAGTGAGTGTGAGTGTGAGTGAGTGAGTGTGAGTGAGTGAGTGTGAGTGAGTGAGTGTGAGTGAGTGAGTGTGAGTGAGTGAGTGTGTGTGAGTGAGTGAGTGTGAGTGAGTGAGAGTGAGTGAGTGTGAGTGTGAGTGAGTGTGTGTGAGTGAGTGAGTGTGAGTGAGAGTGAGTGAGTGTGAGTGAGTGAGTGAGGAGGAGGACGGTGTTAGTGAGTGAGTGAGTGTGAGTGTGAGGTGAGTGAGTGTGAGTGTGAGGTGAGTGAGAGTGAGTGAGTGTGAGTGAGTGAGTGTGTGTGAGTGAGTGAGTGTGAGTGTGAGTGAGTGAGTGTGAGTGAGTGAGTGTGTGTGAGTGAGTGAGAGTGAGTGAGTGTGAGTGAGTGAGTGTGAGTGAGTGAGTGAGGAGGAGGACGGGCGGGCGGCGGGCGGGCGGACGGAGGCGGCGGATACAGAACTAAAAACAAAAACCCCACACGTCAATGTGGGGAAAAATGCCAGCTAAAACATGGCAGGGACACGAATGGCGTAAGCCAT